TAACTTATTTAAAATGCACACATATTCAAGGATTATAAAACATCTACTTTTCATTTTTTTTCCTTAAGCAATTTCAAGTACTTCGATTTATGTTGGATTGGTAAATGTTCAATAACTATCTCTATATTAAAAAATAATCCTAATTTGAGTATACAAAGTTCAAGATTCCAATGTGATGTCATGAATTCAGGGCTGGGAAACAATGTGTACAATCATCTCTTTGAGCCAATTGTGAACAGGCTCTGCAAGTGGGCTCCAGCACTCTTGAGTCTTTGAATATCTTGTCTCACTTTCTTTGAATAATATAGCTATACATATAGCATGCTCATGTCTCTTCTGGCAATGAAAAGACCTACAGGGATTGATAATAAAAATTACCTATGGTAATGTGGGCAAGGACTGCATAAGGTGTATTATTGGAGCTACAATGAACCAGAGAGCTTACCATCCCCTTCAAATGGCACAATATTAATCAGTTCTAATGGACTATTTGGAATTTTTCCAGAATTTGCTTTTTATAAAATAATGTTTACTGGATATTTTTCCCTTACAAAAACCCATGTCTTTTTATTAATACTTTGTATATGAGATAATATGTACATAGACCATAATATTCCCTAAAGGCAAATAACATTGTATTAGTAAGGAAATTATGGTTAGTGGGTCAGTGACCCAACAATTGAGGACTCATCAAATCATTAACAAACAATAGTTTTATAATTTTAACTTTTAAAAAGTAATATTAAAATATTAAAGAATTGCTGATAATTTCCAGGACAAAAATAGAAGAGTCAACATTCCCAATTAAAAAGTTGTATCTTAAAATAACCGAGCGTATTTGTTTGGCTTCCTGTGTGAAGGATTCACTGTTACACATTGAGAAGTTATATCAAGTGAAAAGAGAAGAAAAGTGCTGGATCTACTTGAAAAAAACTTAATTGAAATGGTATTAAAATATGATGAATTTTAAAGCATAGTTACCAAACAAGTGAGAAAAATAAAAAAAAATTATAAAGTTCAAAACACTTTCACACATTATAGTAACTCTAAGAAATTTCTGTGAGTTAACCAGGACTATTAATCCCTGAATTTAACTATCTCCTTTGCTACTTCGTAGCCATTTGCTGTTATATTTGGGCAAGTTATTTATCCACTCCAAAGTCTCAATTGCATTCTGGAAAAGTGTGAATAGTAATTGTACCTAATTATGGGATATAATTTAAGGATTAAATAAAATATTTGCAGAACTCTTTGTATAAGTCTATCTCAATAGATGTTAGGTATTAATATGCCTACCTTAATGTTGATAAAACTGCAGCTCAGTAAAGATAAGTACTTATTTTTGGTCACAGTTCATACATATATAAGCAAACATTTGATATCCGAGTCTGGTTGAATACCGTTAGCATGACTCCATATACCTGGACAAAAATATATCGTTTGAACTAAGAACACAACTGCTAATATGACACTAGATGTAAATTTAATATATCATTAAATGAAAAAAATGAATAAATTGGACTTTACATTCAAACTTTTTACTCTTCACATTTCATTGTCGAAAAATGAAAAAGCAAGCTACAAATTGAAGAAAATATTTTCAACACACATAACTGTAAGAGGGCCCATGTCCCAAGTAAATAAAGAACTTTTAAATTTTAATAAAAAGAAGACAAACCAACAAGATAAATTGTAACAGAAAATTGAAAAATACTTTACTAAGAAAGCTATGCTGATGGCTGCTATGCATATGAAAATATGCTCAATGTCATTAACCATCAGGGAAATATAAATTAAATCCACAGTGAACTACTGCTTCACATCTACTAGAATGACTAAAATTCAAAACACTGGCAATGGTTTCTGAGAGTGTTAACTGTTAGAGAATGCAGATAAGAATACATTCATTGAAAGGAAAAAACAGGATGAAATTCTGAGCAGATATGGAGGGATTAACTTTTGATAAATCTATTTTTCCTTTTAACAGGAATGAAAATAGTTACCATATATAAACATAGAGTAGGTACAATTGTATTCGTGGAAGAATGATGTCAGAGTTCTTGATATATATTTTTTCAGGAATCCACGAAGCAAGTTTGTCATTTGGTAGTGAAAGATTTGAGTTATTTAAGATAGTGGAAACAGGAGAGGTTAAAATTTAGTTACATTAGAAAGCAGAAAAAATGTAAGATTGCTGGGTAACATTGAGTCTTCATTTGCATCTTGGGTGATTTTATAGTGTTAGAATCCTATATTTTATGTAGAGGCAAGACACTGTCGAGGCTGAGGGGACAGTCTGGAGTCAGATTACATGAGTTCAAATCCCATTTTTAAAATAAATCATACATGTAATGTGGAAAGAGTCAAATTTTCTTGTGCTTCTGTTCCTTCATCTGTAAAATGGGGATACTTACAGTATTTAGGTTATTTGTAAAGATGAAGTGAGTTAATATATGTAAATGTTTACATACTCTTAGTATATGTAGTGTTATCCCTGTATCAACAATAGTAATATCTCTGGCTATATTTAGTTACTCTGAACACAAGTAAATAAGCAAGGAAATAGACAAGGTACAGATAAGAAAAAAGCACATAGTTACAGGGAATCAGGGTTCAGAATTTTTCAGGTCAGTTCACTGAGAGTGAGTTTAAAAAGTAAAGAACATTTTCAAGGGTATAATATTGAACCAGAATGTAAGCTGAATAACAAGAGAAGTAAGAATATGGGGGAGGGGGCAGTGACAGTGCTGACATAATGATGCTAAAGCAGCTGATGAGTTGGATTTCTACAGGAGCTGCGTAAATAGGAAAATAAGATAGACATGTAGGAAGCATATTTAGAAAGTGGGCAGTTCAGATTTCTGAATCATCATACTTACCAATCATAAACGTTTTAAGGTATGACAGTGGGAATGGATATGGAGGAAATTATTTTTGGAGATAAGAGGATCCAAGAAGATTAGTGGCACATTTTTAGAGTAATCATCTCTGTGCATTTTGAAATCATACACAAGAGTAAAAGCAGGAGGGGTGGAGAGGAGTACTGTGAGCCCAATTCCAAGTTTTCAAGGTCTGAATGAGAAGTCTGAATAAGAAGTACCACATAGGATAGAAAGAAATATTTCATATATGTGCTTCATTGAAACTAAACCTGTCACAGGAAGAAAACGTTTAGGAAATGCACTGAGAAGTGAGGAAACGTGTAGTAGCTCCATCTTTGCTTGTACCTAAGTCTTCACCTGGAGGGCATACTAAGAGGGCAGTTTCATTGAGGTCTACCCAGGTTAAGAAGACAAAACTTTCAGAAAAGAGATGAACAATATAGGAGGTTTAATAAAATGTTTCGGTAGAGTAGGAAGTAATAGAGAATCTCTACATATCGGAAGATATAGTGAACATAATGGAGTGTAAATCAAAGAGAAAGGTGACCCTGGGAGCCTGAGACTTCTGACAATAAATGGAGCTTAGCACATGGGTTTAGACCTGATGGTCTCTTAAAGATAGCCTCTCATCACTAAGAAGATATTTGGAACATCCATGCAACTGTTCTCTCCTGTAGTTAGAAATTGTTTGCTGGCCAGGAGGATGGGCAGTCCTATTAGGAGCATTAGGTGTTCAGATGTCCTTCAGGTGACTGCTCTTTCTGGAAACCATAAAGAAAGATCTAGAAATGGACACAAGGGAACAAAGTTCATTTACACTAAAGTTCTTGCACTCTGAGCATCAAAGTGCTCCTTTCTTTTTTTTTCATTCAAAAACTGTTTTATCTTTTAACGCATAAAATTGATATCCAACAACACATGTAAAAATTTTTTAATGTGTACTTGAATATATCCAGCTTTATTATATAGGAAATATAGTTTTCAATATAGTATTTCATAAATATGTTGTTAACTGGAAATTTTCGTAGAAACTTTTGATTAGTCTGTGGTGGTGAAACATCATAGACATTATGATGAGTGATATCAACATAAATTGTTTTAATCTATTTTTTAATTATGTAATTTCTCACTTGTAGAATGTGCTATAAAAATCAAGATTTCTTTGTAGCAGTGCCAGTCCTCAGCTCAGCATTTGAATTCAAAGAGGAGAGATTGAAATCATGATCGGTATGTTCTAGTCCTTCAGTCTAACCCAGGTTGCTGCTGCTTTAACTACGATGCAATTATGACAGCTTTCTCACTGAAAGGGGGCTCTGATGACCACACTCACCCCAAGGGCACTGCTTTCCCTGACCTCATCACCAAGGAGTAAAATCGTTCATTTCTCCTAAACAAGACAGCAGGGAGTTTCCAAGGCAAGGACCTTCTCTGTGAACAATAAAATATCAAAAGGGATGTGTAGGCAATAGAAAGGCATACCCATAAATTCCTAGAACATGAAGTTGGCCATCCCCTGCCCACAGGCTGCTTCCACATCTTTTGAGGTTGGCCATCCCCTGCCACAGGCTGCTTCCACATCATTAATCATCTTTGTACTATCATATAGGTTTTAAACTATTTTATTGGCCTCCTCAACAGGATCATTGGAGAAGCAGAAGGCAGAAGAAATATTCTTTAACTTCTTTTTTCATAATACGTATGAACTAATTATGTAAAACTTTTTATTTCACTATATTGTTCATAATTCTAAGAGCAAGTTTTAAGATAAATATTTTCTCTGTGATGATATGAAATGATAAATATTACTTTTTAAGCAATATTTATCCACTGTCTCTGAATGTCAAGGGCGAACCCAGTTAGTTCGTTCAGTGTCACATTTTAAGCAATACATACTTCTCATTCTAAAATATTCATCATCAATTGAAGTATAAAATTTAAGTAAACCTAAAGAACTTTTTTTTTTTTTTAATTTTAGGACTTTATTTAGTTTCCAGGACCAGATACTGAGTACTGTCTATTTCCAGGCTTTTGACTCCAACCCCAACAATAGTATTTCACCTTCAAAAGTTTGAATTTTTCTTTTTTTCTGTAATGTTAGTCATCTTCATGGTTTGCTGATTACATCTTCAAGTCACATTTCTCCTGCTCTATTTTATTATTGTGCATTTTTTCAGCAAGCATGCTTGTTATCTTTTCCCTGAAGAATCTCATTCCACTCCTCAAGAACCTTTGCCTCTTCCAGAAGGGCTTTTTCCTCCTCTTGAAGAGCACTGTTTTCTTCTCTAAGAGCCTTGTTCTCCTCACGGAGGGCCTGTTCTTCCTTCCACAGTGCCCGTTCTTCCAACTCTAGTGCTATTCCTTCTTTCATCAGGGCCTGTTCCTCCATCTTGATTGCTCGCTCCTGATGTTGTAGGGCCTTGATCTCCTCATGAAGAGACCTTATTTCTTCTTGGAGAGCTTTTGCCTCATTCTGGAAAGCTTTCTCCTGTTCCCCGAGAGCCTTGATCTGAGCTTCCAGGGCTCGATTCTGTTGCCAATAAGACTTTCTCTCTGTGTTCAAGGCATTGATTCTTTCCCCAGGTGTTTTTTGACTCTCAAAAATCACACTATTAAACTTCCACAGGAGCTGGTTTTGCTGTCTCCGGGTCTGATTCTCCTCCCGGATGAACTGGTTGTCCATTCGAAAAGCTTTGTTTTCTCCACGAAGAGCTTTGTTTTCTCCCCAGAGGGACTTGTTTTCTCTTCTAAGAGCCTTGTTCTCATCCCTGGACATCTTATTGTCTCTCTGAAATTTTTTTTCCACCTCACGAGATTCACATTTGAACTTATTTTCATTTTGGGTGCAAGAGAAAAAAGAGGAAAACAAGCGTACTATCCTTCCTCTATTAATCCACTTTGATTCAGAGATCACCATTGTTTCTTAGTGTTTTATCTGAGAAAAATATATAAACTCCAAGTGTTCTGGGTTTGACCAAAGGTGAACTAATGATATTTGCAACAAAAAGTTACTAAATTTGTTGGGAATTTGTTCATATAGACTTGGCTGTTGAGTTGACTTGTACAAGGAGTTCTACAGCAGGGTTCTAAACAAGGCTGAGTCAGCCACACTGCAGGAGAAAATGGTGAAAATATGAACAGAAGTCAGTAAATTAACTTTTAGATTGATATAATAAACTGAATAAGTTTAAATAAATCTCAACACATATAAATTACAAAATAATTCTAGATTATATATTCAATATTAATCAAGGTTAATGCATTGAATTTGCTGGTAGTGTTAAACTAAGCTAAACTACTTCTACTAACCTATTAGTCTTCCACTAATATAGGTATTATTTAAAATTAAAAGGCTTGTTATTGATGTGGAAAAATACCACGTATTTAAAATATATTTCTGGCTTTGTAAGAACTAGAAAAACATTTTTTTTTATATAAAGAAGTTATACACTATAGTTTTTTCCATATTTACTTCGATACTTAGTAGTGATATCAAATATTTAAACAGACAATCACACTTACATTTCTATGGTCTCTGAATTCCCTGCAAGCCTGATTTCTCTTAATACTAACAACTAGGCAACATATTATGTCTTCAATAGTGATGTCATACAGTGTTGACACTAATGATATAATGGGTGCTATAGATAGTGTCTGGCTGTTTTTTTTTTTTAGTATGTGTTTTAAGAAAAAATAAAATTTTAAAAGTATGGTTATATTTGAAGCTTTTCTCCATTATTAAATGAATATATATTTAGCTATAGCTTCCATCTGAATTATTAAAATTTATTTAAAACATTAATTTTTTGTTATTAACAAAATAACTTCTAATTATTATATCCTAGGAATTAACAAGTAGTAGTAAACATTGTACAATCAAGGGTGAAAATATTAAATGATTTTGTGATTACTGATGAATAATCATCATTAGGTAAATTTGTGTGGCATACCAAGGAAATAGCACTGGTGACATTTTAATTCCAGTAATCCTGCAAGATAAATTTTATATTACCCAACATATGTCCACTGCTAGAATGTAAAACAAAAGATTAGTTATTTTTATATTTTTAAATGTAAACTTTTGGTGAGATATTAAAATATTTTATGTCACATATATGTCGCAATGTTTTAATAATTTATAATTATTAATTTATAATTGGTTTAAGGTATAAACGTAAAAATTGAATATATAATAACATGTATAAGCCCAAACTACTCACACCTGAGAAAAGATTTGCCAATTTATTAATCAAACCAGATTTCTTAGCAGCTGTTTACATTCTATGTTTAACAGGGTTGAAAAAAGCATTTTTCTCACACATTCATAATCCTCTATTAAACTTAATAAAACAGTAAAAACAAATCTTAATGGCATGGAATGAGAGCTAATGTAAAATTAAGAAAACCCATGTGAAAGTTTTTGATTTTTTTTTTCTTTAAATATTTCTTTGGAGGAAGGGACACTTACTAAATTAGAAGTCTTTTATTTTTTTAAATCTATCATGCCATGAATTCATAGGAAATGGGCTCCAGCAGCTCAGGCTCCTTCCCATTTGTTCTCACACAGTGAGCTACTCTGGGTGGAGCTGGGTAAACCAGGCTGGCGCTTCAGCTGAACCCAGGTACCTTTCGCTTTGGCTTCCTTCTTTTTTCCATCATTCTCCTTCCTATGTTTCAGGAAGCGATCTTGGCTCTTAGAGTGCTTAATATGCTCAATCCGTACATTAATTCTCTTGGCACGAATCTTGCCCTTAACTTGTTTGTTTACAACAATGCCAACTGCATGCTGGGTAGTAACATTGTAAACTCTTCCAGTTTTGCCATGGTAGTTTTTGCGGGACATTCCTTTTTGAACAGTGCTCACTCCCTTGATGGCTACTATATCACCTTTCTTATAGGTTTGCATGTATGTAGCCAAAAGAACAGCTCCATGCTTTCTAAAAGGCCTAGAGAACATATAACAGGTGCCTCTCCTTTTTCCCGTTGTGTTGGTCATTTAGGCTAATTACTGGAAGATGGCGATTCCAACTGAAAAAAAAGGCTGGTTTTTTGTTTTTAACTTGATGAGAGTGAAATATCCACTCAATCGTCTTCATCTGTATTTGTATTGAGAAAGTACTTCATGTGATTATGCACCAGTTTCTTCTTTATACTAGTGTTTCTGCTTTTTTGCTACTGTTACCATGGTAGCTAAAGATTCAGAAAGAGTTCCAGAAAACAAGGAACTCTGGGAATTCCATGTTGGAATGTCATAATTCTCGAGGTTTAAGAGCATACTAGAAAGCAAGAAGAAAATTGTTGCCATTGATCTATTATATAAATTGAATAAAGTACCAGCCCAGACGGCTTCATTAGTGAATTCTTCCAAATATTTAAGAGAGAAATAACATTACTATATCCATGAGTTATTTCAGATGGTAGAAAAATTTTTTTTAACAATTTGTCTTGAAACCACATAACCTAACACAGAAACCTCACAAGGATGTTACAAGAAAGGGAAACTGTAGCCTAAAATATTTCATAAACAGATGCAAAAATCCTAAACAAAAGATTAGCACACCAAGTCCAGCAATGCATAAAATAATGTATCATCACCAAACTGGGTCTAATTCATGAATGCAAGATTGAATTAACATTAAGAAATCAATTAATTGATTTACAACATTAACAGAACAAAAGAAAAACTCTCATTTTTGTGACAAGATGAGAAAAGTAAATTTCAGTAGATTCAGAAAAAGCATTTGATAACACACAAAAAAACAATAAATGCATTTTCATAATGAAAAACCAAACCAAACAAGCAATACTACCACCACCAATGTCCTCTTAGCACACTAGAAATAGAGAATAACTTTTTAAACTAAATTTTGAGCATTTTAAAAAACCTGCAGAGACATATTAGGTGATGAAATACTAAATAGATCACAAATGTAAGGGTGCCCACTATCATCACTTATTCCTCACTGCTCTAGAGTTCTTTAGAGCTGCAAGATAAGAAATTAAGTATGTAAGGAGTAGAAAAAAAATAAGGCTCTCACTATTTGCCAATAATATTGCAAATATGTATAATAAAATGTTAAACTATTAAAATAAACTATAAGTAAACTATTAAAATTAAAAGTGATTTAGCAAGCTTATTGGATATAAGGTTAATCTAAAAATCAGCTTTATTTACAGATATTCAACAGAGTCGAAAAACAAATTTTATAAATATATACTATTTACCTTAGTAACAAAAACAAATCACCTAGAAATAAATGTATGCAAGATCTCTATACAGAATTGTATAAACATTATTGAGAGAAATTACAGAGATATAAATAACAGAAAGGGTAGACCATGTTTATGATTGAAAGATACAATATTTAAAATGTTAATTTTTCTTAAAGTAATTTATATATTCAGCGAATTCCCTGGGAAAATATAATCTCAGCAATTTTTGTAGGTGCATGGGTGTAAATTCAAAAAGCGGTTCTAATATATCTATTGAAATGCTAGAAAAAGCCATGACAATCTTGAGAAGATCAACTTTTTAAAAAATTACTGTAACTCAAATTGTGTAATGTTAATTAAAAGACAGGTTTGCAAAACAATGAATCAGAATAGGAAACTCAAAAGCACATACACATATCCATGGGCTCTTGCTACGTGAAACAAAACTGATGACCTCAAAAACAATAAAGGTAAGTGAAATCATATGTCATGATTTCATTTAAATAAAATACAAAATCATGTGATAATATATGCTATTACAAGTCAGAGTAGAGATTACTTCCTAGAGTTAGGGATGTGCTGGAGATGGAATGCTGGTAGTGTCTAATTTTTAGTTCTACGTGGGGATTATATAAGGTTATTAATTTTTTGATAATTCATAGAGCCGTTCACTTAATTTGTACATTTTTATGCATGTATTTATGATTTACTAACGAATACATGTAAAAAGACAACAGGAAAAATATTCTTGTGTAAATTGATGTTTCTTTGTGTTTGATTATTTTTATAGAAGTGTGGCAGTAAAAAGCAGTGTTGTCTTGGGTAAGTTAACATTTTTCTCTTTCTATTTCATGAACAGTGTAATAAGTAATACCTGATCTTTCTTATGAATTAAAACACATGTAAAGAGAAGTTTGCCTGGCCCATAATAAGTATGAATCATTACCATTCTCATCACCATTCTTTCTATTCTTTTTAATTTGCATATAGCAAAAAGAACCTCTGGCATATCTTTACAAATTTGCATGAAATGTCATTGGTATTGTTGCTCCATAACCTTGCTTCGCAAAATTTGCTGTGTTTAAAGATTTTCCAAAATTCCTGGTCATGTTAATGTTTTCATTATTGGCAATTATTTCCATTATTTCAGGTCTTTTCACATAAATCATAAATTTCAAAGTGATCTTGCCTTTGGTATCATTTAAACAAATTAAGTAGAAGAAAAGGAGGCAAAGAAAGTAACTCCTTGGCTATTTATTAATTAGTAATCTTAGAAGATGCAGACTCGATTAAAGGAAAACAAATGTCATGTTTAATAACAACATTTTAGAAAGAAAAGTTTCCAAGATTTCTAAGTTTTTAGAAATATGTTTATCAATTTGTAGATGAATTATCTGGTTTTAGGTTTTTAATTTATTTTAATGTGTTGACCAGTACCACACTCTATATAGTAATGCATTAATAGTGCTCATGTAATTGCAGATTGTCAGGTAGAACGAATATAGTAAAATCCTACATTATGTCCTCAGGAAGTTTCCTGCAGCTGGTTGGGAAATATCCAGCATTATTGCATAGTAAACGATCTGTTTTCTGTGCTTTTTCATTCAAGGCTTTGCACATATAGGTTGCATAAAAATATTTTATGAATGGATTTAAAAATGTGGTGTTTACAAAATCAGCATTCTAGAATTAAAATGTCTTAAC